CGCGCGGAGCCGCCGCGCAGCCCCGGCGCGGAGCCGCCCCGCGAGCCCAAGGTCTCCTTCTCGTGCGGCGGCGCCAAGGCGGGCGAGGAGGCGGCGGGCGACGAGGCGGCGGGCGAGGAGGCCCGCGGCAGCCAGGCCAGCTTCATGCAGCGGCAGTTCGGGGCCATGCTGCAGCCCGGCGTCAACAAGTTCTCGCTGCGGATGTTCGGCTCGCAGAAGGCCGTGGAGCGCGAGCAGGAGCGCGTCAAGTCGGCGGGCGCCTGGATCATCCACCCGTACAGCGACTTCAGGTGCGGCCGGGGCACCTTGGCGGGCGCGGGCGGGACGGGAGGCGCTGGGAAGCACCGGGGGCTCCGCCAATGCTCCTGCATCACAACCCGGCAGGCTCCGCTCCGGCCCCATCAAGGTCCAGAGGGCACCGGGGGCTCGGGCCGAGCTTTCCTAGGGCGATTTGGGGGGGCTCCAAGGGGCTCCCCAGTTGCCAGAGAAGGGCAGGAGTCTCGTGCCGGCAGCCCCATCCCGATGGCTTGGAGCAGGGAGCATCCCCCGGGCCGGCCTCCCGCTTTGCCCCTCGGCCTCTCCCGCAGCTCTGGCCGGGCGRGAGGGACCCTCGTGTGCGGGAGGGCATCCGCTGGCCTGCGGGAGGGAYGGGCTGCGGCCGGGGCAGCGCCCTGCGCAGGCTCCGCACGGCTCCCTGTGCCGAACGGGTCCCGGCACGATCCCAGGGGCCGGGCGGATCCTGGGGGCSATCCCGATCCCGGAGCAAGGAGGCAGCTGAGCCTCCCTGTGTTGTCTGCTTGGCAGAGCGGGCTCTGCCTGGCGATGGGYGCGAGGCCTTGGGTGGTGCCAGGAGCAGAGCAGCTCCTGCATCCCACATCCCGGTGCCACTCCATCCGCATCCCAGTGCTGCTCCATCCGCATCCCGGTGCTACCCATCCGCATCCCAGCKCTCCCCTGCCTGCAGCCCTGCTCTSCTCCGTCCGCATCCCGGCCGGCAGAGGAGCTGGGCTCGGCTGTGAGGGGTCACCTTGGCCGTGGCCCTTCCCGCACCGTCCCCTTGCCAGGGCCGAGCTGCAGCCCCTGGTGGGAAGAGCCCGGCTCCGCGCTCCGGTGCCGCATGTGGCGCAGGAGCCTTCCCGGCACTGCTGGCAGGAGCGGCAAGGAGAACCGCTGCGTTATCCCCTCCATAAACACGTGAGATAAACGAGATTGGCTCAGGGTYGGGCTGAGAGCTGCCGTGAGGAGCCCGCTTGTGTTCGTTGCGCCTCAAAAAACAAATAGTGAATATCTGGTAATGGTAATGGAGCGTGAATCCAGTCGTGTTTGCCCTGCAAAGCCCCTTTGCTCATCTTAGGATAAAATCACTCCCCATCTGCATACGTGACATCATTTCATAACAGCGATCCCGGCTCCACACGGACCTAGCGCTGTAATTCCTGCGTGTTCCCAGGCTTGGGGGGGATTTGCTCCAGCAACAAAAGTTGCTGTTTACATAAATATTGAATTATTAGGAAGTAGCCTGGGTGGCTGTTTAAGATCACAAGCTGCAAATGTGATAAAAGACCTTGCGCGGTGTGTGCTGATGGCAATGCCAGCAGAGCCGTGTCGCGCCGGGGGCTGCGCCGATTGCGGCTCCCTTTCCGCTCCTGGGCTCCACTGCTGGGAAGAGCCGAGCCCGGCAGCGACTCCTCTGCCGGGCGGCTGCGAGCGGGCAGCGTTCGGGAGCGCGGGCTCCGCTCCCGGCTTCATCGCTGTGTCTGTGCGGGAGAGCAAGGAGGGCGAGTGCAGAGGGGAGGGCTGGGGCCRCCAAGCAGGGGGCACCGAGCGCTGCCCTGGGGCTGCGAGCGCGGGCACGGATGCTCCGCAGGGAGCGGGGATGCGGCGGAGGGGGAGCCGCCGCATCGCCGGGCACGGAGCTGCGTGAGGCTGCGAGGAGGCTGGGCCCGGAGGCTGGGGGCGCATTAGTAATGCGAGTGCCGCGCGGCCGATGATTCAGCCGCCGTGCGGCGGGTGCCGCGGCTCCATCGGCGAGGGCGGCTGCGCCAGAGCTGCAGCCCCGCGCGGCGGCACCGGCGCTGCGGCCGCGGCGCTCCCCGCCTGCCCGGACACGGCGCCCGCGGCCCTGCCGGCTGCACCGGGGCTGTTTGGGCGCTGCCGGGGCCCTGCTGCCCGCTCGGGCTCAGCAGCTGGCGTGACGGGGACGGCCACCCTGCGAGGAGATGCGGGGAGCCACCCGTGACAGGGGCCCTTAGWGGGGCTTTATTCACCCGGGGAATGGGACCGAGACTGTCACTTTGGGCTGGGTCAGAGGCCCGCACCTCTCGCGTCCTTGCCGAGCGCTGGGTGCTTTGAGGAGCCGCCACCCCCGTCCCAAGGGGGCTGTTCCCGGGGGGGCAGCGCCAGGTCCCCGTGGAGCTGCCCGGGCGGCAGCGCAGCGACTGCACGGGCGGTTTGGGCGCTGTGCGTCCCTGCTCTGTCTGCGCCAGGGCCCAACTTCTGCGCTTGGCTTCTTAACCCACATTTGGTAGCGACCTCGCTTTTGGGGATCTGAGTATTTATTTTGGGTCATAAAGCAGAGTCCATCGGCTCAGCCTGTGGTCCCTGGTCCTCGGCACATCCTGGGAGCAGCAGGGATCCTGCCTGTCCCGGCAAACAGGGCAGGAGGGAAGCGCTGCCCGCGTGGGCAGGGGCCGCGGGCTCGACCCCGAGAGCCGCCTCTGGCCCTGGGGGTRCCCGGAGGTTGGTCTGGCGCTTTGGGAAGCGTCGGAGCAACCTTGGCAGAACCGTGCGCTCCGGGGCCGGGAAGAGGCGGCTGCAGGAGCCGGGTCCGGCTCTGCTCCCGCAGCGCGCGGGGCTCCCGCAGCGTCCCGCGCTCCGGGCTCCGCGCGGCTGCCCCGCTGCCTTGGCGCTGCCGTTCCGCCTCTCCCATCGTCTTCGCCGGCTCAATTAGGTCAGGAGCGCGGCGGGGGGGCGAGGAGCCCCATATACCGTGTTTTGGATATTTTTAGTAGCCTGGGCTGGCTCCGCTCGGCTGCGCACGTGCTTGGCTGCGAGGAGGGCGATGCGCCGGGTGTCGTGTGGGGCTGCGCGGCGCCGGGCGCGTCCTGCCCCGGCTCCGGCCCCTCGTCGTGCCCGTCCTGCCCGCTCCCGGTGCAGCCCTGCCAGGCCGGTGCCCCCGGCGCCCGCCGTGCGCCTCGGGGTCCCTCGCAGGGCTGGGGGCGGCTGGCGGGACCCCCGGGCAGCCCGCGCGGGGGCTCCTCTCCCGCCGGGCGGCGCGTGCGGAGCCGTGACGTCACGTCTGCACGGCCCTGACATCACCCAGCATTGCCATGGAAACGGCTGCACGGAGGAGGTGTCATTGGGGGGAGGTCGGAGCGGGATGCCCGGCTCCTTCCCACCCGGGGGGCGCGGGGTGCGGGCGGGGGCTGCCCCGTCCCTCCCGCCCCCCTCGCGGAGCCCCCCGGGCTCCCGTGCGGGCGGCTCTGCGGCGGGGCGGCCGCGGCGGCGACCTTGCGGCTGCTGGGCAAGGTCGCGGTGGCCGCGGGGAGGATGDGGAGGAGCGGGACCCGCGGGGCCCGGCGGCGCGGCCGGCGGCTCCGCTGCTCCAGCTGCTCCAGCTGCAGCCGTGCGCCGTTCCCCGCGCCGGGAGCCGCCGCTGCCGCCGCTTCCCGGGCGCCCCTGCGTGGGGAGCAGCCCCAGGCCCCRGGGGCTCCTCGGGAGCGTCTCCGGGAGAGGCTGCCGAGCTCCAGGGCTCCCACGTCCGCGTGGCCTTGGGCAGAGCACGGACGCCGCTGCCGTGGGGGTCCCGGGGGCGCAGGGAGAAGGCGGCTGCCCAGCCCAGTGCCCTGGGCTCCCCCGGCTCCGCGTGGCCCCGTCTCCTGCTCCCCGTGGTTCGGGATTGCCTGGGGCTGGTGTCAGTGCAACAAGCAGAGCAGGACCAGCGCCGTGGGGCACCCTGGGGCACCCTGCGCCCCTCCGCGCGCTGCCCTGAGCCGGGCACCGGGCTGGGCGGCAGGGCCGGCCCCCCGGCACGGCCGGGCCGAGGGCASGGGTGACCCCGCTGCGGGAGACCTGGGAGCCCCGGGGGGCATCAGGATGCAGCACCACAGCGGCTGCACGGAGCCGCGCCGGCCCCGGGGCGCCCCGTGGGGACCCCGGCCACCCGCTCTGCCCTCTGCTCCCCCAGGTTCTACTGGGACTTCACCATGCTGCTCTTCATGGTGGGCAACCTCATCATCATCCCCGTGGGCATCACCTTCTTCAAGGAGGAGACCACGGCGCCCTGGATTGTCTTCAACGTGGTCTCTGACACCTTCTTCCTCATGGATCTGGTGCTGAACTTCCGGACGGGCATTGTCATCGAGGACAACACGGAGATCATCCTGGACCCTGAGAGGATCAAGAAGAAGTACCTCAAGACGTGGTTCGTGGTGGACTTTGTCTCCTCCATCCCCGTGGACTACGTGTTCCTCATCGTGGAGAAGGGCATCGACTCGGAGGTGTACAAGACGGCGCGGGCGCTGCGCATCGTGCGCTTCACCAAGATCCTCAGCCTGCTGCGGCTCCTGCGGCTCTCCCGCCTCATCCGCTACATCCACCAGTGGGAGGAGGTGACGAGGCGGCGCGCGGGATGGGCCGGGGTCTGTTCCCTAAAGGTGGCGGGGGAGCTCAGACACCCCTCCGGCGCGRGGAGCTCCAGGGGAGTCTCCGGGAGCCGTCCCGGCTTTGGCAGCGGGATCCTGGCGCCTGGCGGGCGCTGTGGGCCAGGACTGGCCCCTGGGGGTCCGGCCCTGCTGCCCGGGGGTCTGGCCGTCACATCGCAGCCCGCTGTGGGAGCAGGTCCCTGTCCCCTTCGCTGTCACCGGCGCGGGCGGCCCTGGTGGATGCGGCTGTGCAGGGGCCGGGCCTCCCCGCGCCGAGGCCGCTCCGTCCTCCTGCCCGGAGGAGACGGATGGGTCTGTCCCAGCAGCGCGGCGTCCTGCGGGGAGAGGGTTTCCCGGCAATGAGGGGCCTGGCGCTGCCGGCTGCCGGGCTCCTGCTGGGGGTGAAGGGAAGCCCGCTCCCGCGGAGCCCCCCGGCCGCCCTGATCCCGCTCGGCAGCCCCGGAGCAGCCCGTGGGCACCCGCAGCTCCCCGGCTCTGCCTTGGCCTCCCCGAGGGCTCCCCAGCGCCCGAGGCTCCCGGCGGGATGTGGACGGGCAGGGCAGGACTCTGGGGAGGCAGCGGCCGGCAAGGGCTGCTTGTGACCCCAACGGCAGATCTTCCACATGACGTACGACCTGGCGAGCGCCGTCATGAGGATCATCAACCTCATCGGCATGATGCTGCTGCTGTGCCACTGGGACGGCTGCCTGCAGTTCCTGGTGCCCATGCTGCAGGACTTCCCCAAGAACTGCTGGGTCTCCATCAACGGCATGGTGGTGAGTGGGGGGCCGCCCGCCCCATGCCGGGGGCTCCCGGATCCTCATCCTTATCCCAAGGGCTCGGCCCTTCRTTCCCGGCGCGCTCCGCGGCTCCTCATCCTCCTTATCCCGGGAGATCTCCGTGGCGGAGCCGCGGGGTCTCGCTYGGCCAGGGATCGATCGCAGGCGGCGGGAAGATCCTGCCAGGGCTCTGCCTCATCCCCTGCCTCTTCCTCTCATTAGCAAAAAACCCGCTATTAATAAGTAATGGGGCACGCTCCTAATGGCACCTCTCAGCGCTGCATTCTGCACAAATGGCCTTTCTCTCTCCTCCTCTTCCTCTAGCTCCCCGCTCCATCCTGCTCCTGCCCACTTGGCCTCCATTCCCCCCTGCTGCTTCCCCTGCCCGGCTGTTTTCCTTTCTGTCCTCCTCCTCCTCTGGCACCTCCTGCTGTTTCATTCCTGGCGGGAAGCTGAGGCTCCATGCGAGGCTGGAGCTGGGGGAGCCGGGCCGGGAATGGCAGCTCCGGCAGCGCTCGTGTCCCCCATTCCCATCCCTTCCCGTCCGCTCCGCGCGGCTCCGCGCTGGCAGCCTCTCCTCCTGGCCCCGTGCGCCAGCGCCGCGAGGCCTCGGCGCTTTCCAGCCAGCAGGGCCCATTCCCGGCACCGCCGCTCCCGGGGATTTCAGCRTTTTGTGAAATCGGGAAAAGCGCCAGACTGTGCAAGCGAAGCCGGGCGGGGGTGAGGGGAGACAAGGGCTGGTCCCGCTGGGGCTGCGGGCGCGCAGGGATGGGGCGTTGAAGCTGGGGGTCCCYGCGAGCCCCGGGCAGCGCCCGCTGTTTGTGCCGGTCCAGGGGGGGACGGGGGCGARGAGAGGCCGCGTCGCGGCGGTGCTGCGGGAGACGGAGCAGAGGAACCCGCGCGGGAGCCGGGCGGAGGAGCTCGGCGCGGGGTCGGGATCGCGGCCGYGTCCGTCCGTGCGGGGCACCGGAGCCGGGCGCCGCGCGCGGCCCCTCATGGCCGTCCCGTCCCCTGCAGAACGACTCGTGGAGCGAGCTCTACTCCTTCGCGCTCTTCAAGTCCATGAGCCACATGCTGTGCATCGGCTACGGGAAGCAGGCGCCCGAGAGCATGACCGACATCTGGCTCACCATGCTCAGCATGATCGTGGGCGCCACCTGCTACGCCATGTTCATCGGCCACGCCACCGCGCTCATCCAGTCGCTGGACTCGTCCCGGCGCCAGTACCAGGAGAAGGTAGGAAGGGGAGAGCGTGGCAAAGGGAGCCGGGAGGAGCGGGACGGCGCGCCGGGCCGCGCTGCCGGTGCGCGGAGCTCGCGCTGACGCTGTCCCGTCTCTGCCCGCAGTACAAGCAGGTGGAGCAGTACATGTCCTTCCACAAGCTGCCCGCCGACTTCCGCCAGAAGATCCACGACTACTACGAGCACCGCTACCAGGGCAAGATGTTCGACGAGGACAGCATCCTGGGCGAGCTCAACGAGCCCCTGCGCGAGGTGAGGGCCCCGGGGTGCGCCTTGCTCTGCTCTCCTGCCCCCATACACGTGCACGTGGATTGGAGAGCGGGTCCTGGGTGCTGGAGCATCTGTGCGTGTGTGTCTGCGCTGGGGGGCTGCCCTCCATGGCTCCCGCACCCCCTTCCCTGCAGGAAATCGTCAACTTCAACTGCCGCAAGCTGGTGGCCTCCATGCCGCTCTTCGCCAACGCCGACCCCAACTTCGTCACGGCCATGCTCACCAAGCTGAAGTTTGAGGTGTTCCAGCCGGGCGACTACATCATCCGCGAGGGCACCATCGGCAAGAAGATGTACTTCATCCAGCACGGCGTCGTCAGCATCCTCACCAAGGGCAACAAGGAGATGAAGCTCTCGGACGGCTCCTACTTCGGAGGTGAGCGCAGGGGGGACCCACCGGCTGCTTCCCGCAAGGTCCTGAGGGAGTCCCTGGCTCCACGGGAGGGCTGGGAATGCAGGGCTGGCTCTGGGAGCCCGGGGCTCCCCCTTGGGTCCCCGTCTCCCTGTTCRTCTCCCGTGGGAGCCGTGGTTGGTGATGGCGCCGCTGTCTCCCCTGCCCCAGAGATCTGCCTGCTGACGCGGGGCCGGCGCACGGCCAGCGTGCGCGCCGACACCTACTGCCGCCTCTACTCGCTCTCAGTGGACAACTTCAACGAGGTGCTCGAGGAGTACCCCATGATGCGCCGCGCCTTCGAGACCGTCGCCATCGACCGCCTCGACCGCATCGGTAGAGCAGCGGGCGCCGGGGGGCCGGATACCCGGAGCAGGGGGGTGCCGGGCGTCCCCATGGGGCTGAAGGGCGGGAGCGGGTCTGGGGGCCGCAGCGCCGGCCCTCACCGCTCTCCTGGCCCCGTCCTCCCCGCAGGGAAGAAGAACTCCATCCTGCTCCACAAGGTGCAGCACGACCTCAACTCGGGCGTCTTCAACAACCAGGAGAACGAGATCATCCAGGAGATCGTCAAGTACGACCGGGAGATGGTGCAGCAGGCGGAGCTGCAGCAGCACCCGGCGCTCTACAGCCCGGTGCAGCCGCAGGTGACGTCGGCCATCGCCACGCTGCAGCAGGCCGTCGCCATGAGCTTCTGCCCGCAGATGGCCAGCCCGCTGGTGGGCCCGGTGGCGCTGGGCTCGCCGCGCGTCCTGCGCCGCC